TCCGGCACTCAAGCAATGGCAAGAGAAGTGAAGCATCGCTGCCCCAGCTCCCACTGGCCACATTTCTTGGGGGAGGGGCAGAACCGCCTTGCACTCACTGGCAGGAAGCAGAGTGAGCTGGGGCTGTGTCGCTCTGCTTCCCTCACTGCTGCTGATGAGTCTGGGGGGCTGGGATGGACCCCTGCTGCTAGTGCCAGCCTGCTGACCCCACTTAGTCCCCTGGGCCACCTTGGTTGGGGAAAGAGACAGCAGGGGTAGAGCAACGGCGGGGAGGAGGTGGGGAAAGGACAGAGCAAGAGTGGGAAGGAGCAGTGCAAAGGCAGGGAGAAGTGTGGAATACTCTTACTTTTTTTATTATTATATTAATTACAATGAGATGGATTAATTTTGCATTGTGTAAATGTTTTCTTCTCTCATTTGTGTATTTATAATCTTTTATTTGTATAGTGTTCCCTTGTTCCTGTATTATGAGAGGGCAAATAGGAATGCCCAATTTACCTTCTTTATGCCATTCATTATTTTATACTTCCTTTGTGTCCCATTTTGTTTGTCTCATCTCACAGGTCAACAGTCTCACCATATGGAAGTTTCTGGACTCTCTCTGCTCCTGTACTATGTTTTTGAGATAGGATGACCAGAACTGAATGAACACAGTATTCTAGATGTCCCAATTATTTATATAACAATTTTGTAATATTCCCTGTATTATATTCTGTCTCATCATAGCATGTTATTTGATTTCTTGATCACCCTGCACACTGAGCAGTTTTCCTTGAGTTGTCCATAATGATGTCGAGCTTTTTTAGTTAATTTAGGATCCAGTAATAGGAATAGGTAATCCAAATGACTTTTACTACAGTAAAATTATGTTGTTCTCTGCATTAGATATATTTACAGGGCAAACATACCCTTTGTCTCAACAACTCATTGCAGCAGGGATGGGGCACCTTCAGCCTGTGGGCCAGATGTGTCTGACCGCTTGCTTTGATACAGCCATTACGCCTTGGGACTCTCCCCCTCCCTCCACAGGGGGGCAAGCCAGCACTCTCACTCCAGCCACGCACAGGGGTGTTGAGGTTTGACACCCCTTACCGGTTTATGGAGCACCATTTCCAGCTCCCCACTGCTGGGGGAAGAAGGGGGGAGCCCTGCCAGCTGTATCCAGCCCATAAATTCTGCCTCGCACAGAGAGAGAATAACTCTGCACCTGGAATCACTCCCATTAGTCAGGAATCCCAGCTAATAGGACTGGTGTGGGGTGATGCTGGCGCCACCAGGAGTTGTGTCAGATAGATACCTCAATCTCCTGTCCCCTCCCACATCCCAGTCCCACCCTGCTCCTGCACTGTCTCCTGCTCAGATCCATCTCTGCCTGCTCCTGCACCTCCACTCCACTCTACTCCTATACCATCTCTGCCACTCAGACCCCTCAACCTTCTCCTACACCCTCCCTTCTGTCCAGATTAAACTTTCCCACCCTCAGCCCACTGACTGGCAGTCTCCTCCCACATGCTGAACCCCTCATTTTGGCCCTACCCCAGTCATGGGCCATTTATGTGATTTTTTTTTTGTGCTTCTCACTTGCATATAGCCCCTAACTGATTTTAATGTGGGTCAGTCACCTTGACCTAAAAAGGGTTCTCCATCCCTGCATTACACGGTGCTTTGCATCTCCTTTCTTGGTAGCTGTATTTGCATGTGAGACAGTTGCAAACTTTATCCACTAGAGGTCATAGACTATCTGCAAGACAGTATGATAGTCCTGCAGTACCTTAGAGCAGGGGTTCCCAAACTTTTGACATGGGGACCAGTAAATCCATTCATGAGCTTTTGGAGGACCAGTAACATTCATTTGCATATTCATTAAGCAAATGATGAATATTCAAATAAGTTGCTTCTGGTCCTCCCAAAGCCCCCAGTGACCGAGTTAGCAAAGCTTTTGATACAGTCACCCACAATATTCTTGCCAGCAAGTTAAGGGAATATGGATTGGATAAATGGACTGTAAGATGGATAGAAAGCTGACTAGATCAGGGTTTCCCAAACTTTTTACTTTAGTTGGAACCCGGTTTTTTTAGTACTGTTTTTTGCAACCCAAAAATATAAACACATTTAAAAAAATGAAAAATTAATAAATTTTCAGTTTTCACCTGGCTGCATCCTCCACCCAGCCTGGGCCAGGGCTTGGGTGACCCGGCACTGCATGGGCACTCCAGGAGGTGGGAGCAGGAGCAGACTGGGGATAGGGTAGCTGTCTAGGAGGGAGGGTGAAAGGAAGGATAGGGTTGCCAGGTGTCCGGTTTTGTACCAGACAATCTGGTATTTGAGGGTTTTGTCTGAGCAACAAATTGAGAAATTACCAGACATATAAAATGCCTGGTATTTTCTAATTAGGTAAGTTTTATTATAATTAGGTGTATCAGTCCTTTGCTGTGAACTGCCTGGATAGTAGATGTGCTCACGCTGCCTGAGTGTGTCTACCTGCCAGGCAGTTCACAACTACTGGAGGGAGGGTATGTGGGGGGGGAGGAGGGAGCAAAATGGAATCCCCAGGCAGACTGACTCCTCTGCCAGGGTCTGTAGGGTCTGCATGTGCCCAGTTCAGTCCCGCTCCCCCCCTTCTCCTCCCGATCTCC